TTTTCATTATGTTTTGAAAGACAAAATGGTGTTACGGAGGGAAAGTATGGTGTTTGAATTGCTAGAACATTTACGTACAATGAATATGCAACTAGTACATGAGTGTCGTGCTTAAATTTGGAATTATTCCGGATTCGTTTGTCATTTTTATGCATTAATTGAGTTTCTGGGCATTTAATGTGCATAATTCAAATTTAAACTACAAGCGCATGCTCCAATGCACCAAAGTTTGTTGAAAAATCACATGTGTGTCTTTGGGTGAATTTATAGGTCCCATCCAAGAAATGGGAATGAGATTCAAACATGTGGGTGTCGTGGCTCGGCCGGAAAGATTGAGAAACTTCGTTTTTAAATTCCTATAAATCCAAAAACACGCCTGAAAATCAGGAAACTTGGCATGATATCATGACATGGCACCAACATGCTGTGGAATATTTTTTGGCTGAATTGGGACAAGCTTTGGTGTAAGCTTCTTGCAAACCGGAGCTTCCCTCAAAAGGGCTCATGGTTCCGAAAGAGGACGTGTCACCTTCGTGTGCGAAACGACATACGTACACTGCCTTCTCCCGGCTTAATTTTTTTACACAAGCAGATTAGACCAAATAGAAGTATCATGCTAAATTTTGAAATTATTCCGGATTCGTTTGGCCTTTTTATACATTAATTGAGTTTCTGCATATTTAATGTGCATAATTCAAATTTGAACTACAAGCACATACTCCAGTGCATCAAAGTTGGTTGAAAAATCACATGTGTGTCCTTGGGTGAATTTCTAGGTCCCATGCAAGAAATGAGAATGAAATTCAAACATATGGGCATCGTGGCTCGGCCGAAAAGATTGAGAAACTTGATTTTTAATTCTTGTAAATCCAAAACACGCCTGAAAATCATAAAACTTGGCATGGTGTCATGACATGGCACAAACATGTTGCGGTAATTTTTTTTGGCCGAATTGGGACTAGCTTTGGTGTAAGCTTCTTGCAAACCGGAGCTTCCCTCAAGAAGACTCGTAGTTTCAACAAGGAACTTGTCACCTCCGTGTGCGAAACAACATGCGTACACTGCCTTCTCCTGCCTTGATTTTTTTACACAGGTAGATTAGACCAAATAGAAGTATGGTGCTAAAATTTAAAATTATTACGGGTTCGTTTGGCCTTTTTTATACATTAATTGAGTTTCTGCGCATTTAATGTGCATAATTCAAATTTGAACTACAAGCACATGCTCCGGTGCATCAAAGTTGGTTGAAAAATCACATGTGTGTCCTTGGGTGAATTTCTAGGTCCCATGCAAGAAATGAAAATGAAATTCAAACATTTGGGCGTCGTGGCTCGGCCGGAAAGATTGAGAAACTTGATTTTTAATTCCTGTAATCCAAAACACGCCTGAAAATCATGAAACTTGGCATGGTGTCATGACATGGCACCAACATGCTGCGGTAATTTTTTTGGCCGAATTGGGACAAGCTTTAGTGTAAGCTTCTTGCAAACCGGAGTTTCCCTCAAGAAGGCTCGTGGTTCCGAGAGGGAATATGGCACCTCCTTGTGTGAAATGACATACGCACACTGCCTTCTCCCGCCTTAATTTTTTTTTACACAAACAGATTAGACCAAATAGAAGTATCGTGCTAAATTTTGGAATTATTCCAGGTTCGTTTGGCCTTTTTTATACCTTAATTGAGTTTCTACGTATTTAATGTGTATAATTCAAATTTGAACTACAAGCACATGCTTCAGTGCACGAAAGTCGGTTAAAAAATCACATGTGTGTCCTTGGGTGAATTTCTAGGTCTCATGCAAGAAATGAGAATGAAATTCAAACATCTGGGTGTGGTGGCTTGGCCGGAAAGATTGAGAAACTTGTTTTTTTAATTCCTGTAAATCCAAAACACGCCTGAAAATCATGAAACTTGGCATGGTATCATGACATGGCACCAACATGCTGTGGTAATTTTTCTGTCAGATTTGCGAAGACGCACACATTACCAATCAACAAAGTCATTTTGGAACAAGTGTTGTCATGTTACAAATCAAAAACACAAGTATTATTGAAACCGTGAGCGTTCTACTTACCAATTATGTGCCGCCACACGTCTCTTTTTTATTGGCTAGGAGGTGTCGTGCGGGGTAGCTATTTGAGTACGGGAGGCGTGAGATCAGACCCCTGCGCGTGCTCATCGGGTCTAGATCCCTTTGACCTCTACCCGCTGCGCACCTCCCTTCCAACGTCTCCATTAATGGCGCCCAAGCCCCTATTCTACGACGTGCCTATATGTCTCACTGGACTGAGATTTAAGAGAGAAAAATGAAAATCTGAAAAGAAAGTTTTGCATGGTTCTTGATGTAAGATCCGATGGACCTATATAGAATTGACTGGACTTATAGCAAGCATGATGAATATAAGGATGATGACAATGGATAATAATTATCTTACATATTTAGGAACATAAGTAAAATCCCCGCAAAAAAGAAACATAATTAAAAAAAGCCACATGCGGCTACGCCCGAAATACACAAGGGCAAAAGAAGAAGGAAGACAACGATCTGGCTCGCTGATCTCTACTTTCTTGATGCGTTGCTGCAGACCGCGGGAACTAGTCTCCGCGGCAAGCGGCGATGAGCTTTTTCTTGTCCTCAAGATGCTGCTTGAGAGCATCCACGGATTCCTCCACCATCCTTTTGCGCTCGATGCGCAGCATGGCATTCTCGTCCATAAGTTTCTCGACAATGACGCCGGCCCTCTTCAACAAGGCAGTGGTCTCCTCCTGCTGCTCTGCCCTTCCGACTATCTTCGCCCTCAGCAGGTCGCGCTCGGCCTGGAGCTTCGCATTGCTCTCATTTAGTTGTCGGATGACGCCGGCAAAAGAGGCTTTCATGTCATCCTGCAACCTCGCCCAGTCGGAGATCTGATCCATCTGGCTATGGACGATCGCATGCATGCGCCTGTAGGAGTCCTCGCCTGCCCGCGAGACATTTTCCCAGGCTGCTGCGGCGCGGGAGGACATCTCTATTGCATTCACGACACGGTGGGATATCTCTTCTGCTTTCGCGGCACGGCCAGGCCAGTCTGCCGCATCGACGGCGCGGCGGGACCTGTGTGCTGCTTCGGCGGTGCATCGGGACCTCTGTGCTGCTATGGCCGTGCGGCGGGACATGCCGGCTGCGTTCGCGGCAAGGCGGGACATCTCTCGTGCTTCCGCTTCCATGCTCGCATTTTCCTGGTGGCAATCTCTCAACCCAGAACTCACGCTGGCCATGGCTAACGCAAGGAAACGATGATGAATGACTTGTTTGTTTTTGTGGATGGGGGTTGAGGAGGAATATGCAGTCATCTTGAAGTAGTAGTATTTATAACCGAGTAATAATACGCTCCTAAGTGGGAAACCGTTTAGATTTCGATCGATGTAAACAGGTTTGCAATTTGGAATGTAACAGGATGCATGCTCAAAATTTACTGACGATTATAAGTGCGGCACTATTTTCGGAAGGCGTAACGTGGGCATGTACGCCTTCTCGGCCGCGTATGTGGCGTTTGCACCATATGGTGCACCGCAATAGGCAATGTCAGCACACGTCTTGTTCCAACAACCGTGCGCGCTCGTTATTACCATCGCGCGTGCTTCTTTTAATTAGAATGTGTGTGCCCGTCTAGTGCACACACGTTGATCTATTTAACTGTTTTAGTTTGTTGTGGCTAATCGCAAACAATTCATCCGTGTGGAGTGTATTCCATCAATCGCAGACACTTTGATCTGGCTGATCCGTTTCTGTTATGTTGCCTAATCGCAAACAGTTAATCCTTCTGACGCGTATGCCCTCAATCGCACACACCTTTATCTAGTTGCACGTTTTTATTGTTTCTCCTCATCACAAATAGTTCATCCGAGTGAACCGTATGCTGTATATCGCACACGCCTTCATCTGGCTACCCGTTTCTTTTGTTCCGCCTCATCGCAAACAGTTCATTGAACTGAATAGCATGCCCTGCATCGTGCACGCAAGTAAAATCCGAACCGTGTTTGATGGCTCCGCCATCGTAAACGTTTTGCACCTTTTTTCGACTGTTCTTTTACACCACCGTTTACGATTATTGCGTCGCACACAGTTTTGTCGAAGAGTCTCTGATCGTAGTGTCGCCTTAACAGCATCCTGCAATAGTGTGTGTTGAAAAAAAGTTTAATCTATCTGTATTTTAAAAAGGACACTGTATAGTAAAAAAGTTCACTTGGTATTACAGATCGGTCATAATATATTAAGAAAATTTTAACGTATATTAAAATAATGTTCACTATGTATTAAATTATTCATCATATATTACAAAACTTTCCACCATATATTAAAAATTTCTTCAGTTTCTATTTTTAAATGTTGAAAGCATCCTACAGAAGATCTTCAACGTATATTAAAAATTTCAATTTTATTTGAAAAATAATCATAATATGTTTTAAAAAAACTAAAGTAAACTATAAAATTAAAAATATACAGGAAAAAACGGTTAGTAAATCCCAAAAAAGTTGAAAGAGAAAACCTAATAGAAAGTCGAAAGGCAAAATCATAGAAGAAAAAGAGAAAAAGGAAAGCAGCAGCAGCGACCGCGCACAGAACCCCCAGCTAGGCCGGGCCAACTCGCCCCACCGTGAGCGCAGTCTCGTCTATTTTGTGAAGCGGTGACGATTTATATCACCTTAAGCGAGATAAGTACCAGCTCTCGCTGAAGCCTTTTCTCCCCTCACGACGTATTGGGCTGGCCCATTGACATGCACATATATCTCTCCCTAATAATAAAGCACGGATTGGGTCTCCGGGTTCACCGTCGCGGCTTTTTTATATAAAGGTCCCTGTGGTCTTTATGAATTAAACCCGCCGTCCATGTTTTATCTGAAAAAACGTTTCGTCTTTTTTTTAAAAAAACACTGTTTAGCACGCCTAAGCCTCAGCGCGCCGCTGTCGCCCACGCAACGTTGCTCCTCCGCTCGCTTCCTCCCCGCCGGTGACGACATGATGTCTTCCGAGCTCGAGAAAGCGCCGCCCACCCCCGAAGCGGGCGTCCCCGCAGACACCGTCAGCAATAAGCAACGGAAGAGGGACGCCAGGAAGGCCGAGAAGGCGGCCAAGTACGCGCAGGCGCAGCAGAAGCCCGCCGCCAAGGACCCCTCGCCGGAGCATGAGAAGAAGAAGCAGCAGCCTAACGCCGAGGACGACCCCTCGGCGGCCAACTACGGCGACGTCCTCCCCGGGGAGATCCTCCCTACGGCAGTCCCCGATGAACCGTGGGCGGAGATCGGCCGCCTCGACAAGGCCGCCGCCAGCTGCTCCGTGCTGGTCCGGGCGACGCCCAGGCAGTCTACCGTGGGTCCAAGACCAAGAATGTGGCCTTCCTGGAGCGGCGGCAGGGGATGAGGAGCACCGTGGCCGTGCAAAACGTGCTCGCCGGCAGCGCCCAGATGGAGCCCTTCGCCTTGTCCCTCCCCAAGGAGTCGATCGTCGTCGTGGAGGGCGCCGTCGCCCTCCTCGGCAAGCCCCTCAGATACACCACAGTGCGAGAGGTTTCGTTCTGCCGTAGCTGATCTTTGTCTGTCTGTTATTTTCTGATCCCCGTTTGATGGCTGGCAGGTGGAGAACTGGAGATTCAGGTGAGGAAGCTCTACTGCATCACCAGGGCCGACCCGAGGCTACCGATCAGCGCGCAGGATGCCGGCTGGAGTGCGGAGGAGTTTGCAAAAGCTGAAGCAGTATGTCAACCGCCTGTACAATCTGCATTTGCTTGCCTCCTCTTTGAATGCATGAAGGAGGAGGACACAATTTTGTTGTTGCTCCAATTCTCCGATGATGATGATATCTGGGTTCAGCTGATGGGATCTTGTTGTTTTGCAGAAGGGAGTGCCACTTCCCTGCGTTGGTCAGGACACGCTTAGACTATCGAGTTATTGAGCCGGGAACACCGGCAGGTCAAGTCATTTTCCGTATACAACATCAAGTTGAAAACGTTGGTATTTGTTCTTGCTTTTAGGACTGCTGCTATCAGTGATATATTCATGAATTGAGTTTGCAGAACTAAACATACCATGTTATGTAGTAATATGTTGTGTAGCTTAGATAAAATATTCTACTTGGACACTGAATTAAACGTATCTGATCTGGTGACCCCTTTGAGTCGTTGGGCCAAAGCGTGGCATTGGCTGGGCTGCTGCGTGGGGATTTCAGTGATACTTTTGGGTGGTCGTTTAGGTGGAGTGTGCATGAGCAGGCACCATAGCAGCACTTAGTGCTGGACTGTCATTGCATTTGGTCGTAATGATGTGGATAGGCTCTTGCCTCTTCTTCTATAATATATGAATAATATGATACACATCCTTGTGCGTGTTCTAGAGAAAAAACTTTAGCCTCAGCCTGTAATTATTTCGCACCCGCAAAAAAAGCCTTTATTCAGCACCGTGCTGGTCTTTTAAGTTGTTTCTAGACACTGATCGATCCAGTGATCTTAATGTTATGCCTGCAATCTGATTACACTAATGATTAGATTGAGTTTTAACTTTATCATTCGGTGTTGAATATGTATTTGTCAAGCCAATGCATATGCTTTTACAAAAGCTGTTTTATGAAGGCTGCACGGATTTATTTTTTATGCATTTCTACAGCATTTGATGCTTTTTTTGTGTGCTGGTTAGTAAATATTTACCATTGTTGGATACTACAGAAATTCAGAGAATATTTGTCCTCAAAAGATATTGGGATCCACACTCCAAAGCTGATTTCAGGGTCAAGTGAAGGTGGAGTAGCAGTATTCAAACTTGAATATAAGAATGGCAAGTGTGCTTGTTTAGCACAATCCCCTCAGCTGCACAAGCAGCTGGCTATCTGTGGTGGGTTCCGTCGTGTCTTAGAGGTTGGGGATGTGTTTAGAGCTGAAGATTCCAACACACATAGGCATCTGTGTGAGTTTGTTGGTTTGGACGCTGAAATGGAGATTATGAGGCACTACTTTGAGGTGAGCAGGTTTGGTAGAGTGCTCTTCATTTACAAACACTTTTTTTGCGGAAATCTTCATTTACAAACACGACAATGGCTGAACTTGTTTCTTCAAACAGATTTGCGATATTGTGGATGGATTATTTGTAGAATTGTTCAGACACTTGAATGAAAATTGGAAGACAGAACTCGAGGCAATTAATAGGCAGTATCCATTTGAACTAGTGAAGGTAAAATATTTGTTGCTTCTTATTGCTTGGTGGTTCCAGTAATGTTACAATATCTGGGTTTTGTAGCTGAAATGGCGACTCACATTGTGTTTATTCCTGCAGTACCTAGAGGGTATCTTGAGGCTCAGTTACGAGGAAGGAATACAACTGTTGAAGGTACAAACATGTAGCTATTTCATTACCACCCTGATGTTTTTCTCTCATCATTTGAATTTTATACTGTTCTCGTGCAGTATATAACTGCTATTTTAACTCTACTGTACACAGCCTGATGTATGACATCATAATAAGAAAAGAAAAAGAATTAAGCATTGGTGATTTATTTGCTTGGCAGGAAGTTGGAACAGAAATTGAGCCTATGGCTGACCTTAACAGTAATTGTACCTAATTTTGTGCGTACGTTGTCATGCTTGGGGGGACACAGTGCAATCCATCGGACCCGTTGCAACGCACGGGCTCTTTTGCTAGTATTAGTAAAAAGGAAGTGCGAGAAGAGGGATCGATCTCTGGTCTTCAGGTTCAACGCGCGCAGTTTTATCGTAAGACCAAGGGGTGCCACCTACCTGAGGCTACCCGAGCCGTTTTCTTCGAGATTTTTTCCTTTTACTTTAATTTATTTTCTTTTATTTCCTTCCCTTTTTTTTCATCTCCGTTTTTCTTTGCTTTTCTTTATTCTCCTTTACTTTCTTTAATTTTGTTTCTTTTTCCCTTTTTATTATCTATTTTTCATTAATTTTTGCACTTTGTTTCTTTGTTTTTATTTCCTTTTTAATTTTGTTTATTTTTTTGTATTTTCGATTTTCTATGCTCTTTAGGTTATTATTCTACATTTTTTGTATATGTCAAAAATATTTTCAAATACATGTGTAACATTTTTTCTCTATTTTTTTATTTTTTTTCTTATGCTTGTTTTAGTTTTCATTCTACATCTTTTTACATGTCAAACATATTTCTAATAAGTGATCAACATTTTTTTTGTATAGACGTTCAACATTGTCCTAACACTTATTCAACATTTTCTAAATATTTGTTCAACATCTTAATACTTATTTATCAATTTTCAAATACATGTTCAACATTTTTCAAATACTCGTTCAATATTTTTTAATATTTATTCAACATTTTAAAAAACTTGCCCATCATTTCAAATACTTATTCAACATTTGCAAATACTTGTTCAGCATTTTTCAAATACTCTTTCAATTTTTTAATATTTATTCAACATTTGTCAAATACTTGCTCAAAATTTTCAAGTACTATTTCAACATTTCTTAATACTTATTAAAAAAAATTAAACTTTTGTTCAACATTTTTTAAATGTGTTTCTGAAGAGTGTTTTTTTATACATATGAAGAGTATTTTCAAATATAAAGAAATGTACAAAAATAAAGAAAAAAAAGAAAACAAAACAAAAAAAACATGCCTTGGCATCCAGCGCGGCTGGGCCGGCCCATATGGGCTCCCGCCGACGCCAGGCTTCCGGGCATTTCCTATTTGGCGCTGCTGGCCCCGGGTTATAGCTGTTTCCGCAAACCGGCGCCTGCAGCGGCGCTACCTGGGCTCGGCCCAACTTCCATTATTCCTGTTTTTTAAACTCTATATAAAACTGCAACAAAGCCACGCAGGCTAGGATTCGAACCTGCGGGGCGGGTTATCACGTATAACCAACTTGACGACTTCACCAGATCTGATAGCATACATCTTTTCGTCCATTTATTTGTTCTTCTTTTTCCTTTTCCTTTTGCTTTTTTCTCTATCCTTTTTTACTTTCATTTTTCGAAATTCGTAATTGTTTTCTTCAAATAGATGGACTTCTTCTCTAAATCCATGAACTGAATGTTTTGAAACTCGTGAAATTTTTTCAAATTGATGAGCCAATTTTAGAATAGGGGAACTTATTTTTCAAATTTGATAAACTTTTTACAATTTTCTGAACTTTTTCTTAAAATTGATGAACTTTTTTTGCAAAATCGGTGAACTTTTTTTCAAAATCGATGAACTTTTTCAATTTACATGAGCATGTTTTCAAAATCGATGAACTTTTTTCAATTTAGGTGAACTTTTCCCAAATTCGATGAACTTTTTTCAAATCGATGAACTTTTTTCAAAATCGATGAACTTATTTTGAATCCATGAACTATTTTTGAATACATGAACTTTTTCGAGTTGGTGAACTAATTTTTGAATATGCGAACTTTTTTTTTGCATGCTCATGAACTCCATCTGTAATATGTGAAGATATTTTCAAATAATTGGGAAATATAAACGCTACTGTGTAATGCGCAATAAATAGTGCGTGTACATTTCTACTCCCTCCGTTTCAAAATAGATGACTCAACAGGTCATCTATTTTGGAGTATTCATTATAGCTTTCGCGCTGGGAATAGGCAATAGTAGTGAGCTGGTGCAGTGGCTAGCCTATCTGTGTGGAAGCGCGAGGTCACGAGATTAAATCTGAGTCGGGAGATAATTTTGCCGGTCATTTTCGCTTGTTGCGCGATCGTGGGCCGGCCCATCCAGCGGCTGCTGCGGGCACCACTTCTCTTACGGGGCGCTGAAGGCGCGCTATAGGAGCTCCCAGGCTTCCCCCCTGTGCGGCATACAGTCTGCCTCACGCACAGGAGCGATTCTGATTGGGCTGGCCCATATATAGCGGAGGTAAATCGCAAAAACGAAGCGTCACTGCTGGGATCAAACTCGTGACGTCGCAATATAATAACATGTGCTGCTAGCCGCTACACCTTATGGCTCATTATGACAGATGATAACATGAATTTGAATCGCTTTTAACTATAATGTGATATTCAGTCTTGTTTTAGACAATTTTGTCCTATTTTCTGGAGCTTACAGATTCTTTAATTGTTTTGAACACATTTTAGAAAACAAGCACAATTTTTTGGAAAATGTGAACAACATTTTAAAAAATAATTTTAGAATTTCTACATATTTCAAAAATTTCTGAAGATTGTTTATAATAGAAGAAAAAAAAATCTCTTTTCAATTACTAAAAAAGGCTTTCGCCCCGCTTTATAAATAAATCAAACCACCACAGCCACAAGGTATCACAAATGTTCACCCAAACACACACACAGAAAGTCACACCACAAATAGTACAAGAGGGTTCTGCTGAGGGCATAACTCAACAAGTCCTGAAAATGAAAACAAAGGCGGATGACAATTTTATTGAAACATGGGGGCATTTTTTGAAATTGCGAACAAATTGTTGCAACCACGAATTTTTTTCTAAAATTTGAGCAAATTTTGAAAATGAGAATATTTTAAAACACTTTCTGAAATTATGAACAAATTTTGAAAACGAGAATATTTTTGAGAAACACCAAAAAAGATTGTAATTGTGAATAAAATTTGAAAATAAGAAGATTTTTTGAAATCCTTGAACATTTTAAAAACCATGAACAAATTTTGAAAACAAGAACATTTTTTGGAAGTCCTGCATTTTTTGAGACGTGAATAATTTTGGGAAATTCTGAATGAAAATTCGAATGCGAGAACATTTTTTGAAATTCGTAAAAAATATTTTAAAATTTCAAACAAAAGGAACTTGAAAAATAAAATAAATAAAAAAGGAAAGATGAAAACAAAAAGAAAAAAAAGAACAAAAACAGAAAAGTAAAAGAAACAAAGACAAAAAAGAAATGGAAAACAGAAAATTCGGTCCAGGAGCCTTCTAGAATGTTCCCAAAACCGATAAAAAACACATGGAACCTCTGGAAGATTCCTAAAACCGAAACGTTGAATCTACTATCTGCCGGCCCAATGGCTCGTTTGATAGCGCTGTCTGTGCGATTGGTTGACTATTTGACGAATAGGGATTTCCAATAGGATCCACCCTTTGGGATCCCTGCCAAGGTTTTTTTCGGAGCAAAATCCCTGCCAAGATTGATCTTACGATAATACAGATGCATGAATGGGCCATGCATCCGCTTCACTTTTCCCGCCATTTTTGCACAAGAAGATTTTTGTACAAGATTACAAGACTTATAAAAGCAGTGAAAGCGCTGCTTCGTCTCTTATGAAAACGAGACACACTTTTTGCCATATTTTTTTCCATGCATGTACTGATGATCAATGATGCAAGGAGCGGTAGTAGTGGGGAAGG